GAAGCAGTGCTGTGGCTCAAGTGGTAGAGCGCTAGCTGAAGAGCTCAGGGACAGTGCCCAAGCCCAGAGTTCAAGCCCCAAAAACCAAAATAAATAAATAAATAATAATAAAATAATAAACATGGCAGGTGCTGCTGGCACATTGTAATTCTAGCTCTGAGGATAAAATTTCAAAATTAGCCAAGGCAGGAAAGTCTGTGAGACTCTTATCTCCAATTAAACACCATCAAAAAGCAGAAAGTAGAGTTGTAGCTCAGGTGGTAGAGAGCTACCTTTGAGCAAAAAGCTAAGGGACAGCACTCAAGCCCTAAGTTCAAGCCCCAGGATTCCCTGCTCCCTCTGCAACAAAAACTGTAATAATAAACATGCTGGGTGCTGTGGTTCATGACTGTAATCTTACCTACTAGGGAGGCTGAGTTCCGATGGCCCAGGTTCAAAGTCAGCCTAGGCAGAGAATTCCAAAAGTTTTTTTTTTTTTTTTGCCAGTCCTGGGGGCTTGAACTCAGGGCCTGGGCACTGTCCCTCAGCTTCTTTTGCTCAAAGCTAGCAATCTACCACTTGAGCAACAGCACCACTTCTGGCTTTTTCTGTTTATGTGGTACTGAGGAATAGAACCCAGGGCTTCATACATACTAGGCATGCGCTCTATCATTAAGACACATTCCCAGCCCCAAAAGATTCTTATCTTCAATTAACCATCAAAAAGCAGAAGTAGGGGCTGGGAAGGTGGCTCAGTGGTAGAGTACATGCCTTGCATGCATGAGGCCCTGCGTTGGATTCCTCAGCACCACATAAGCAGAAAAAGAAAAAAGCCGGAAGTGGTGCTGTGGCTTAAGTGGTAGAGCACTAGCCTTGAGCTGAAGAGCTGAGGGACAGCGCCCAGGCCCAGAGTTCAGGCCCCATAACCGGACCCCCCCCCAAAAAAAAAGCAGAAGTAGAAATGTGGCTCAAAAATACCAGCATTGATCAGAAAAAGGTAAGGGAGAGATGAGGTTTTGAGTTTAAGCTCCAATACTGGCACAAAATAATAATAATAACAAAAGGGATGGAGATTATTATTAGCTGAGCGGTAGGGCACTTGCCTAGTATGTATGAGTCCCTAACCTCATCACCACAAGAGTAAACAAAAGTAGAAAACGACAAACTTCATCAAAGAAGAGATTCAAAACAAACTTGCTGAAGAATAAATGCTATGGAAAGCTCCAGAAACATGTAGTTCCAAATTTCCTAGCAGCCACATCCAAAAAAAAAAAGGAAAAGAACAGATAAAATAATTAGATCTCGGACTGGGAATGTGGCTTAGTGGTAGAGTGCTTGCCTAGCATGCATGAAGCCCTGGGTTCAAGTCCTCAGTACCACATACTGGATGTGGTGCTATGGCTTAAGTGGTAGAGTGCTAGCCTTGAGCAAAAGAAGCTCAGGGACAGTGTCCAGGCCTTGAGTTCAAGCCCCAGGACTGGCAAAAAAAAAAAAAAGAACCTGGCTTCTAGAAGTGCTCAGCTGTCACTTTTTCAAATCTATATGTGTGTGCATGTGTGCAAGTGCTAGTACTGGGACTTATCTCAGGACCACATGCTCTTAAATTGCTTGGATATGAAAGCACTCTTCCATTTGAGCCACTCTCACATTCGGCTGGCTAATTGGAAGACAGTTTCATAGACTTTTCTGCCTGAGAATTCAAACCTTCAAAAATGGATCTTCCAGGTTTCAGCCTCCTTAGAATTACCAGATAGTGAGCCTCCTATATACCTTTTTTTTTTTTGTCGATCGTGGGGCTTGAACGCTGGGCTTGGGTGCTGTCACTGAGCTCAAGGTGAGCGCTCTACCACTTGAGCTACAGTGCCACTTCCGGTTTCCTGGTGGTTTATTGGAGATAAGAGTATCATGGACTTTCCTGCCTGGGCTGATTTTGAATCGAGGTCCTCAGATCTCAGCCTCCTGATTAGCTAGGATTACAGGCGTGAGCCACCAGTGCCCAGCTTTTCTATATACTCCTATATACTTCTAAAACAACCAAATGATCCAACAACTAAGCTTCAGGCTTCACCTATGATCTGGCCTTTAAAGTCACACACACACACACACACACACACACACGCATGCACACACACACACACACACACACACACACACGATCCCCTTCCTTCTCCCAGTAAAATAACATGAGTCTGAGGTCACAGTCAAAACCTAGAGCACTGCTGCCATTATAGGTGGACCATACCTATAATCCAGGAGCCTGAGAATTGGAGGATTGAGGTTCAGTCAATGGAAGTTCAGTCCAAATAACCAGCAAAATCAAAGAGCAAGCAAGACTAAACTAACAAGGGTGAAGCCCTTAGTTGAAACCTGGGTATTGTTAAACAAAACAAAACAAAAAAATAAAGAAAACCTAGAGCATATCAAGCAAGGCAACATGACTGTGTGTGTACAAGTCTGTGTGTATGAGGATGCACGTGTGCCAGTAGTAGGGATTGAACTCAGGGCCTGAGCCTCTGTCCCTTAGCTTTTTCCACTCAGTGATGGTGTTCTATGACTTGAATCACAGCTCTACTTCCGGCTTTTTTGTGGTTAATTGGAGATAATAGTCCCATGGACTTTCCTGCCCAAGCTGAGTAGATAGGATTTCAGGCATGAGCCAAGGTGCCTATCCACATGACTGTCTTTAAAGACGGAGAGCTCAAACTAGGAGAGGCCTGAACATTACAATGAAAGCCTCTGCAAATTTATGAAGTAATAGGAAAGAGGTCTCACTAGAAGATACTAATAGAAATGTGGGCTGGGAAATACTCAAAAGCACATGTGAACTGTGCCTCACAATTTACCAATCTTGAGCTTTGAATCTGGATAGTTTATTTATTTATTATTTTTGTCGGTGTGGAGCTTGAACTCTGGGCCTGGGTGCTGTCCCTCAGCTCTTCAGCTCAAGGCAAGTGCTCTACCACTTGAGCCACAGTACCACTTCTGGTTTTCTGGTGGTTTATTAGAGATAAGAATCTCAGGGACTTTCCTGCTCGAGCCGACTTTGAACTGTGATCCTCAGATCTCAGCCTCCTGAGTAGCTAGGATTACAGGCATGCACCACCAGCGCCTGGGTGGGTAGTTTATTTTTATGACAGTTATATCAATATAAAAATGTGGGGAACAATCCAAGATACTTAGGAGTCTGAGATCTGAGGATCTAGGTTCTAAGCCTTCCTGAGCAGAAAAACCAGACACTTATCTCCACTTAACCAGAAAAAAGAAGGAAGTAGAGGTATGGCTCACGTGTTAACACCACCAGCTTTGAGGGGAAAAAGCTAAGCAAGAACACAGAATTCAAGCCTCAGTTCAAGGAAAGAAACACATGGAAAAAGAAAAAATAGCACTGATAAAGAACAGAAATTTTATCCCTCACATTAACACTGTCTCTCTCTGAAAATCTATTTTCTGCTTTGTAACTCCATTTTCCAATCTCCCCCAGGCCTCCTAGTTTAAAGGCTTTTTTTTTTTTTGGTCAGTCCTGGGAGGTAAACATGGCTTGAGCTCCTTTTGCATAATGCTGGCATTGTACCACTTGAGCCACAGCTCCATTTCCAACTCTTTGGTGGTTTATTGGAGATAAAAGTTTCAGGAACTGGGCTGGGAAGGTGGCTCAGTGTTAAGAGCGCTTGCCTTGCATGCATGAGGCCCTGGGTTCGATTCCTCAGCACCACATAAGCATAAAGAAAAAAGGCTGGAAGTGGCACTGTGGCTCAAGTGGTAGAGCACTAGCCTTGAGCTGAAGAGCTGAGGGACAGCGCCCAGGCCCAGAGTTCGGGCCCCACTACCGAAAAGTTTCAGGGACTTTCTGTCCGGGCTGGCTTTGAACCATGATCCTCAGATCTCAGCTTCTTGAGTAGCAACGATTATAGGAGAGACCAGTGCAGGGACTTCAAGGACTTAAAAACAAAACAAAACAACAACAACAAAAAACAAGAAATATGGTTCTTTGGGCTTCGTGTGGCCCAGCGTTTGTAAAAGCGCTTGCCCACTACGCAAAAAAGCCCTTGATTCCATCCCCAGCACAAGAAACGCGGTCCTTTAAAACAAATCCAAGCCTAGCAGTTCAGCACAAGGAAGGTAGGGGTGTGTGTGTGTGTGTGCACAAGGAAGGTAGGAGTGTGTGTGTGAGAGAGAGAAATAGAGAGTGAGAGTGTGTGTGTGTGTGTCCTGGGGCCTGAACTCCGGCCAGGGCGCTGTCCCTTAGCATTTTGCGCAAGGCTAATGCTAATGCTCCACTTCCGGCTTTTGGGCGGTTAACTGGCCGAAGAGCCTCTGGAATCTGTCTGTGGGCACTGGCTTTGAACCGCGATCCTCAGATCGCAGCCTCCCACTAGCACCCGACAGGGAAGGGCGTTAAAGTCCTGGAAGTAGTGATGCAGACATCTCCCCACACTTCCTCACCCACCCGGCCACCTGCTCAGTTGCTCTGTAACCCAGAGCAACCAACAAGCACCAGTTCTGCGCACCGCCCTACCTCTCTATGCGTTTGGGGGGAGCTTGGAATTCCTGGAAGAAATTTCTGGCACATCCTGCGGGGCTGGGCCAGACAGCCGGGGAGGGAGGGCTGAGGCACTGGTCCCAAAAGCACAGTTCAGTTTGACTCAGCGCCCTCCTCAGCTTCGTTGCCACTTCACCCCCACCCAGCCGTCCAGCCGCCCGCTCTGGCCCCTCCCTGACAGGTTAGCGCTCTCGACTTAGGCACGTCGCCACCTCCATCCTCCTGGGGACTCACCTGACCGCCTCACAGCCACCGCCGTGATCCTGGCACTCCCGGTTCCCGCCTTGCCAGTTTCCCGTCACCCTCCTTGGCCGTCGCCCTGCGGAGGGACACGCCTGCGGAAGGACAAGTCGAAAGCCACGCCCCTGCCGCACCCGCGGGCCGGACCTACTTCCTATACAGGACCCCCCCCCC